AGAGAGAGAGAGAGAGAGAGAGAGAGAGAGAGAGAGAGAGAGAGAGAAAGACAGAGACAGAGACAGACAGAGAGACAGAGAGAGAGAGACAGAGAGAGAGACAGACAGAGAGAGACAGAGACAGAGAGAGACAGAGACAGAGAGACAGAGAGAGAGTTAGTCATTGGTAGCTCCTGTTTCTAGAATACTTACCTGTGCTGTGTCTTGCAGAATGTCAGCCGTCCATCATTACCATTGGTTAGGTCAATAGGTGTTATGAGTCCATCTGTGTTGAAGGAGGAAGGTTAAATAGATTGCTCCAACTTCACAGAGGGAGAGTGGAATTTGAATCTATGCTATTGAATTTCTAAAGGCTAACCTCTCAGCTACACACAGCTAACCTCATCCAGGTACCACTGTTTTTGCCAACTCACATGATAAACCTTACGTCAGAACTACAAACTATTTGTAAGATAGTGTCAACATGATTTCTATCTTCTTAGGTCAAGAAGATTGCCATGGAAAATGATCACAGACTGAGTGACTTAACAGAAATTTGTTTTCTCAATTTTCTGGATATCAAAAGTCCAAGATCAAGGTTACTCATTTAAGGATTGTTTCTTGGCTTGTAGATGACAGTCTTGAAGTTCACATAGCACTCGCCTCCAACTCATGTCTGAATGCTAATCTCCTTTTTAACTTTTTTGATACTGTCTCTCTGTGTATCCCCTGACTGGCCTCATACTCACAAAGATCCACCTATCTCTGCATCCCAAGTGCTGGTATTAAGGGGTGCTTTACCAGTGCTTGCTTCCTCTATGAAAAAGAAGACTAACCATAATGTATTCTGGTAAATCTAATGATCTCATATTTAATTCAATTATGAAAGTACCTTATCTTCAATTACAGTCACATTGAGAAATATTGGAATGAGTACTCATACATGTACTTCAGAAGGGAGCACAGAATCAGCCCATGATAAAGGGTTACTATATTTTCTCTCTCTAACTCATCCTTTTGTTTAAGTCAGTAGCCACAATTTGTATATTTGACTATTTCTTTTGCAACTCTAGAGACTGGACCATGGCCACATGCATAGACAAGTATCCTACCATTGAACTATGTGCCTAGCCCTTTTATTTACTCGTGAAATGTCTGTTAGCTCTGCCTTTGAAGAAAGCAGTTAATATTAAAGAAAGACCCAGAGGTCATGCAGAAATTTACATAGAACTATAGCCATTGTAGAGAAATTAACCAGTAGGCGCCTGCACCCAGAGCCTGCCCTTGTAGCACTCACTTCTGCAGTGGAACTAAAAGCTGCTTCAGTTCTCCAAAACCCAACAACCTTATGTTGTTATCAGCTCAGACTACTCCATCCAGTCTTTATCATTTAATCCCAACCTCCAATTATGTGATCTCTCAAATACAGGATTCAGTTTTGGTGGTGGGGGCTTGGAGAGGGGATGTTGCTGTATAGCATAGGCTGTTCTAGGATTGGTTTTATCATCTAGGCTGTTCTTGAATTCATAATCTCACTGAAATGTCAGTGGTGCTCCATTCCCTTTGTTGACTCTGGAGGGCTGGGAACTGCTGCCCAGGACACTGTCCTAGGAAGGATCATGTGGCCACACAGCATCAGCAAGAAGAAGCTGAGACACTAGCACTATGTAATCTGAGGGTGGGTGTGTGGCTGTGGGAATCCATACAGAATCCCACAGAACCCAGGGCAAGGTAGTAATAGCATAAAGGCCAAGGGGAAGAGGGCAGAGGGCAGGGGGCAGGGGGCAGGGGCAGGGGCAGGGGGCAGGGGGCAGGGGGCAGAGGGGCAGAGGGGCAGAGGGGCAGAGGGGCAGAGGGGCAGTGGGGCCTTGGCAACAGTGTGTGTCCCAGACTCCAGCTACCCTCATCTCCTTATCCCTGGGCATATATGCTTCATTTACTTTACATGACAGAAATCATAACCTCTGGAATTTCCACTAGCTTTTCACTTTATTGCTGTTCTAGTTGGAGGCAATCTGAGCTACTTTTTGGTAACACACACACACACACACACACACACACAATTTTGAGAGGGATTGTGATGACTTTAGCTAGTGCTTAAAAATCACAGGGATAACTATTCAAATTTTGACCTGTCATCAGCTTTGGGGACAGGAATTAGATGACGATATGACACTTTCCATGGAAACTGCAAGACTGGCCTTGATGGGAAGAAAGGTTTCCAGAGTAGAGATAATCTGACACATGGGACAGGATTTGCAAAAGGGATGGCCACATGGCTACCACCCTGGAATCAAATTAGAGGGACTTGCAAGAGTCCTTCAGAAATGTGCCTCAATCTAACACAGCAGCAACAGCCATTCAGTGGCATGTTGTACCTTCTGGCTCCTCAGCTGGGTAGAGAAATCCCCATCTGAGATAAATCTAGCAATGGAACAAGATCAGCTCCTGCAGGTTGATTGGCATGTAAACCATGTCTTCTCAAGGCAGCCAGTGACTTGAAGGTTCTGTGTCTCATACCAGAGGACTGCCTTAATATGCTGTGGCTGAAGAGGTTCCAGAGTCCATCAGGCATCTACAAATTCTTCCACGGCTTCTCCCTAAGCCCTACCCAGCTGCACAGACAGCTGTTTTCAGGAGTTGGAGCTCCAAGATGGAATGACCATGATTCACCTGAAGAGTTTAACTTTGCAAGTGATATCCTGGACTACTGGGCTCAGATGGAGGAGGTAAGAGGGCATTGTGATGTAGCTGTGGGAACTGGAATGGCCTTGTGACTTTCCCTTGCTCTACTAAGTAAAGAGACACAGGGGAATGCATAGATTCTCTAGAAACACAGAAGACCTACAGCTTCTTCAAGGCAGCTGTGTAGCGGGAAGGGCTTACACCAGAGGGCTTGATGCCTAGTCTGTATATCTTCTCACATCTCTGAGCTTCAGAGGTTGTTGCTGTTTTCTTTTCTTTCTGTGAAACAGAGGTTAATTTATTTTAAAACTCACTTGTACAGTGGATAAAAGTATCTGATGCATGTTTATTCTTCCTATGAATAACTAACTATGAGCTAGTGAAAAGTTCCAATTGTCAGGTTCATGGAAGTCTGAGTTCTCACCCTCAGTGGGAAAGTCTAACTGAAATTCAGTTCAGCACATTGACTGTAAGCCATGCCCTGAGAGGGGAAAGACTTTCAGAATGTACACAGGAGCATCTACCACATTTATATAAATCAAGTAACCCATCATCCTGTGAAGCTGGCAAGTCTCCCTGGGGTCCTCCATGTAAGCTACATTCTTGAGAGTGGCTTTGGGAAGATTTTTCCAGAGAAGTAGTCTCTGTGGCCTGCAGAGGCATCATGTGTCTCTGCAGAAAATGCACCTTGGTCTGTCTTTCCCCAAGACATAGATACATGGAAAAGCAGTAGGAGCGTTAGGAGGTTCGGTAGACAGGTGTGACATCGTGAGCCACTCAGCCCTAGCTGAACCCACCCGGGTCTGGTCTTTGTATGGAGGCAACTCACCTGAGATGACGTTGGGGAGTAGTTGTAAATTTTAAGTTTCCCATAAACATGCACTCATGTGTTACTGTTCAAGGCCAATATGGCCTCCTCTACACCTTTCTATCCACCACCTTCTTCTTTCAGAACTTTCATAATAATGCTAAAAACAGAAAACCAAACCAAACCAAAACCAGAACAAATAAAACACAGTCCTGTCATGGAGAGAATGCTTCTGTCCCTTGTCAGCCATTATGCATTTGATCATCTTCTATTACCATTTTTCCATTTTACAGATGAGGAAACTGGGAGTCTGAGAGGTTAAGTGACCTGCTCGAATCTCCTACCTATCCAAGACACAGGGGGCAGGTTTGGATCCGGGCAGACTGATTCCACGGTACAGCACTTAGCCTAGTCTTACTATCTGAGAGGCCAAAGCATCTTGGATAAATGGGCTTTCTTCATTGCCCAGACCATAAGTGTAGTTGAGCATTGGAAGCATGGACTGGGTTAGGAAAAAAAAGCATAGTGATAAAGAGACAGTGGTGGTAGCTTGTTCTGTGTAGTGATAAAGAGACAGTGGTGTTAGCTTGTTCTGTGTTTCCTCCATAAAGTTCTCATTAGTGAGTTCACACAGCAGCTTATGAGACCAACAACCAAGTAAGTCACCCTGTAGGAAAGTTCAGGATGGCTGGATTTCATAAGATCATAGCCAGCCATTGATATTTCATCTGTATCTCCAACCCCCCATTTATAAGCTCTCCTATCCTGGTAATATTCAAATATCTTGGATCTGTCTGTCAACATTTCTAGTTGCCTCACTCATGATTAATAACTCAGACTCATTCACTATTAGCCTGTAGTGACTTGTGAAGCTTCACACACAGTAGTCCGCCAGTAAACAGTCATGGGATGAGTTAGCATGAGTTCCGTTCTTGTCAGCACTCCTGTGAAGCCTCTGCTTTCTGCAGCACCTCTTGTGAATCACTAGCAAGCATCACTCAGAAATCGATCTGTGGTCCAATCAACAGTACTGCCCAAAACTGATAATGTGTTTATACATATAGTTAGTTACAGTTACAGTTGTTATACATATTTAGTTAGTTAGTTAGTTATAGTTACAGTTGTTAGAGTTGAGTAGGAGTTGGAGTCATGAAGCAGTCCCCAAATGTACTCAGGAAAGGCCACATTCCCATCAGCTTGTTTTTATTCTGTCTCTTACACACTTCACTCATTTATTCATTCATAGAATTAAAACTTGAGCAGTACCCAGCATGGAGATAGGACACTAAATGAGATACATGAGGCTCCATTTTCCCTGCTGTTTTCTGTTACTTTCTTCATGCTGTTACTTTACGTTAATTGAGTGTTCTATGATAGCACTTGTGCCTTTTTCCTCATTTCTTTTGTGTGTGTTCTATAGATATTTTCCTTGTACTTACCATGAGGACTGCATATAATATTCTGTAGCAACAAAGTCTATTTTTAACTTTGTACAGCTTGGCCTCAATCACACTAAAACCCCAACCTTATATTCCTGATGTCACAAATTTCACTTCTTTTGTACACATTTTAATGTGGGTTTATAGTTGTCTTTTAAATATAATTAAAGAATAAAAGTAGAGGCCAGTGAGGTGACTCAGCAGGTAAGGGAGCTTGCCGCTGCCAAACCTGACAACTGGAGTTCAGTCCTCAGGATCCACATGGTGGAAGAGCATCCACTCCTGAAAGTTGTCCTCTGAAATTCATGTGCATGTTGTAGTATGCACAACTGTAAACACCTGAGCATGTATGCACACGCGAAATCACACACACACATACACACATACACACACATACACACATATACACATACACACATACATACA